GCATGTGACCTGCTTGGATAACTGATTGTTTTCTCTTCTTTTCATGACCATTCAAACAATTTTGCAGTGAATCCTAGCATACAAGTTACACGTGTTAGCCCACCAATCCTTGATCAATCCACCGAATTCAGCCGACTACTGGAATAACTGTGGCATATAAACCGATTAATTATAATCAGCCGATGGTTTTTAAGAACTGATTGATTTTAAAGTAGTCCTACCCATCTGCACGCATCAAACATAGTTAGAATATAAATTAACTTTAATAAAACATGTAATTTAACCCAGAAAACCAATAGTACTTTAGTTTTAAGTTTCAACATGAATTTTTTTACCCATTGGAAAATAGGCATTCACGTGGCATTAACCCACCTTTGGAAGGTTAATTTATTATGAAATCGATAGAAAAAAATGGATTTTCTGGGGTATACGGTTAAGAATAATACCTGCTTATTAATATTTCCGCTATATAAATGCCCGATTTGTAATACATAATACCAGTGGACAACAAAAATATCTAATTCCACAGTCGCCGAATTTGATTGCTGATCACTGCTGTTGTTCTAACGCTGCCATAAGTAAGAACTTTTTGGATAAAGAATTTGGTGAAAGTAATGGATAAGCTTTTTCTTAGGGAATAAAATTTGGGAACGTAGTGCATATCATGGTATTTGCAGTTTTTAATGTAACACAACAATAACACCCGAGTTTTCATCCAGTATTGTTATTCAGTGGTAATGACATGTACCGTGCTGTATGTTAAAGAGTACTAACTTTACCTGAATAACCAATGGCGCCTTAGCCACTATATGCGGAAAATGGACCTTCAAAAAACCGTCTAGGATAGACAGTCTATCATAAACGTGAAAAATTTCACCGAGGTACTGTTCAGAATTTGAGTTAAGTCGAAATTCAGAATTGAAAAGTGGAAACATAAGTTTAAGAATATGTAACTGTTAGGTGAAATGAATATTTAGTGCACCACTGAATTTCCCTAGGCACACGATAAGTCAGTGGAAACTGTGTGTCAAATTTATGGTATGAATTCGTTTGACTAATGTATTCAAACGTTTGCCAACGATATGATTTTCGAACAGAAGTGTATCCACAAAAACGATGCTAAGATTTATATTCTTCCCACTGAGAAATGGTGTCAAAGTATAAGCAGGTAGGTAGAAAATGACTGCAGAGACTGAATGAAAAATACGATTAACTCGTAAAACAGGCTGGCCAGTTTTATGAACACATAAGGTAATCACAATATTATTACTAATACAATCCAAACGTTAAGATTATCAGAAAAAGTTTATTTCCAGTACGATAAAAAAACCAGTCATTCGCTACCACCGTGAGTCTTCGTACTACTGTGGAACCTTACAAGCTACCATAATCCTTAGATAGACACTACTAATCAAAAATTACTATCAAAAATACAAACATAAAGGATAACAACACAGAACTTCACATAAAAGGTCAAACGTTCAAGCAGCCACTTCTGAAATACTAAAGAAACTCGAGTATTTAGAAGTTTGGTCAGTATTAACGTAAACAGAAATCAGTATATAAATGCAGAAAGAGCAGTTACTTAGGAAGCGATTAGATATTTCCTGTTTTGTAAAAGCATACAGTAAATACGTGTGTTGTTATTATAACTAGCATAAAAACACTTTTCATGATGCATCTGTCATGTCCTTTCCTCATGAATCACAGAGCCTGTAGAAAAACAGTCACTGGACTTCAATCCTTCCACTCAAAAGTAGTGAATGTTTCATAAGATAAAATCGCTTTTGACTCTACTCTAGAAATTGTCAGTGAAAATTTACTTGTGCGGTGCCCAAAACAACTACTTTTATCAAATCCAAGCGGCTATCTATATTTCAACATTAACGATGGAGATGTTTAGTCCCTGGTTATTCCTATTATTTTACATTGGCTGATACTTGAAGCTGACTAGGCTATAGTAAATGAAGCAGCGTAAGAATGATTTAGGCAGTTTGTTAAAAACAAATGCTAGAATCTGTGGTCTATCACATAGGGTAAAATTGAAGATTTACAAGCCACTATGACGTTTGTTAGGGATTAAGCTGTACTGCTAGTTGAGCTGACAGGCAGTATCACTAGCTGTTACTTATTAGACGTGCCTCACCGCCTACTGCAAGAATGTGTATGAGACTGTTGCATCCATTTAGACTACATAAGATACACTAAGTGAGTACACCCGAAAACTTTCAACCAAGTGATTGCATAATAAAGTTCTTGCCACGAAAACCGAATGTCGTAGATTTGATCTTATGTGAGTTAAGACGTGTGAACTCTAGGACTAGATGACATACTTCTTAATATTTAGTGGCTTTTAATTAAGTGTCAGTCTGAGAAAAAATACACACTAAACATGGCCCTTCACTCATCAGTTTGAAAAGCATCATCTTTCACACTGTAAACACCATTTACCTATATTTCTTTTTTCCAGTACTGAAGCATGTGACCTGCTTGGATAACTGATTGTTTTCTCTTCTTTTCATGACCATTCAAACAATTTTGCAGTGAATCCTAGCATACAAGTTACACGTGTTAGCCCACCAATCCTTGATCAATCCACCGAATTCAGCCGACTACTGGAATAACTGTGGCATATAAACCGATTAATTATAATCAGCCGATGGTTTTTAAGAACTGATTGATTTTAAAGTAGTCCTACCCATCTGCACGCATCAAACATAGTTAGAATATAAATTAACTTTAATAAAACATGTAATTTAACCCAGAAAACCAGTAGTACTTTAGTTTTAAGTTTCAACATGAATTTTTTTACCCATTGGAAAATAGGCATTCACGTGGCATTAACCCACCTTTGGAAGGTTAATTTATTATGAAATCGATAGAAAAAAATGGATTTTCTGGGGTATACGGTTAAGAATAATACCTGCTTATTAATATTTCCGCTATATAAATGCCCGATTTGTAATACATAATACCAGTGGACAACAAAAATATCTAATTCCACAGTCGCCGAATTTGATTGCTGATCACTGCTGTTGTTCTAACGCTGCCATAAGTAAGAACTTTTTGGATAAAGAATTTGGTGAAAGTAATGGATAAGCTTTTTCTTAGGGAATAAAATTTGGGAACGTAGTGCATATCATGGTATTTGCAGTTTTTAATGTAACACAACAATAACACCCGAGTTTTCATCCAGTATTGTTATTCAGTGGTAATGACATGTACCGTGCTGTATGTTAAAGAGTACTAACTTTACCTGAATAACCAATGGCGCCTTAGCCACTATATGCGGAAAATGGACCTTCAAAAAACCGTCTAGGATAGACAGTCTATCATAAACGTGAAAAATTTCACCGAGGTACTGTTCAGAATTTGAGTTAAGTCGAAATTCAGAATTGAAAAGTGGAAACATAAGTTTAAGAATATGTAACTGTTAGGTGAAATGAATATTTAGTGCACCACTGAATTTCCCTAGGCACACGATAAGTCAGTGGAAACTGTGTGTCAAATTTATGGTATGAATTCGTTTGACTAATGTATTCAAACGTTTGCCAACGATATGATTTTCGAACAGAAGTGTATCCACAAAAACGATGCTAAGATTTATATTCTTCCCACTGAGAAATGGTGTCAAAGTATAAGCAGGTAGGTAGAAAATGACTGCAGAGACTGAATGAAAAATACGATTAACTCGTAAAACAGGCTGGCCAGTTTTATGAACACATAAGGTAATCACAATATTATTACTAATACAATCCAAACGTTAAGATTATCAGAAAAAGTTTATTTCCAGTACGATAAAAAAACCAGTCATTCGCTACCACCGTGAGTCTTCGTACTACTGTGGAACCTTACAAGCTACCATAATCCTTAGATAGACACCAAGATTCAAGGCAGTATGTCAAAAGACAGAAAAATATGTTAAAAGTCATAGAAAGGCTTAAGAAGGTACAGAGAGTGAGTGAAACTAATAACAAAATCTCCATATTTGGATTACAAAGAGAAGGATATCCAAATGTAAATACGTCATTACCTTCAACTCTTAAACATCGTATGGAGTAGCTAAACATCGAATTCTGTCGTCGCATGGACTGTTGTCAAGGTTAATATCTGTCAACAAGGCTCAAACCACCAGACAGGTGCGTACTGGACTGATGAGATAAAACATCCAGTGGATTCACTTTATGAGGCATGTCATATTGCAGTGCCAACCTTCAACTATACTTGTGCTTACAAGCAAGATGATGGGTAACGGGTGTTGCATGAAAGCTAATGATACAACTTTATCATGCAAACATAAATATTTGTGGAGGATTTCCAAAGTATTTCAGGTATTTCACCAAAATCCATGCTCATGTTAACAGAAGTCACCGGTACTAAGCATTTATTAGCACATGAAAGATCTTAATATATCCGAAAATTATCATATTCACGTTTTTCTAAGTTGCAAGTTCAAACCATGATGTGAATATGCCTTTAAAAACAGTCTTATTATTGAAAGCACATCAGCAACACTGTAAAACGTCTATTATAGATCACACAAGGGGATACTTCCAAGATAAAAGGCATCATCTCAACACAGCAACAAAACAAGCATAAGGATCACTAGTATTCGGTCAATCTGAACTGCATTTGCATCTAGATGCTGCTTAGTGGTTGAATGCAAAATCGATAGTAGTTTATTAACATCCTGGAGACTGTGATCTCTTGAAATACAGTTTTGTTTCTGTGACGTGCTCGAAAGTCCCTATCTGTGACCAAATCTGATTCCTTAAACTACCCAGAAATGTCAAAGTGCACTCAAATTTAAGTGCAAACACATTAAAGTGATTGCACAATGGAATCTGTGAACACTCATCATAGAATTCTTCTCCTAGCGTAATTACTAGCAGCTCCCAATTTATATTAATCGTACGGCAAAAGAGAAATTGATGATAGCAAGTTATAAAAAAGCAACTTGTAGCTCTCTTAAATGTATAAAATATAATAGGTATAAATACCTGAATTCCTTACAACTTCTACATTTGCTGCTTCTTTTACATTGATGGAATGTATACATCCCATAGTAAGATGCTACTATCCTTTCTTATTGATATATTCCATCTTAACTTTCAAATGGAATTGTTACAAGTCATTTCACCACGGTAACAAAAGCATAGTTTGAAATGTTGTTTTCATTCGCTATTTAATATTCAATATGTGTTATGCGACTCAGTGCAATATCCAATATCCCTTATTTGTTATGAAAGCTTGTGCAAGATGACTGGTTTCTTCCTATTAGCTTCTGAGTCTCGTGTTAAGGTTCCAGGTCCCTTTTATATTCCGTGGCAGTAGACTCACCCCTTCCCATAAAGCTGGGAATCCACCAGGGGATTGAGTTATGGTTAAATTTGTGGGGAAATACGTGATTTGTCTTGAGACTGTGGTGCAGCTAAGTTCTTCAAGTCTCATGATGCAGTAGAGTCTTTAGAACTGGTAGTAAAAGATAAATAAAGAGAGATGAGAAAATGTGACAAGGAAGAAAGAGATAAGAAAGGGAAAAGGGGAAAATAATGTAAAAATATGGTTAAATTGGAAGAAAAAATGAAAAACTGAGACAGATGATATAAATTAGCGTGGTTACACTGTAGAGAGCAGGAAGCAGGGAGCAGGGAAATAGCAGAAATGGTCGAATTGGAAATAGCTTTGATATTTATAACGAGGTGTCGATCGTAGAGGTAAGACATTAAACAGAGGGTCAGAAGACTAAACCACCTTCATAATATCGGTGGCTACCAGAAATAAATGGCGTGATGAGAACAGACAGTGTTGGACAGGTGCGGCGCCGGTTAGTCCCCTTTGCCTAATCAGAAACCCAAACAGATTAAGTCAATTCATGTGTCGCTGTATTGATGTCAAAACCTTCTTGAGGCTGTCATCAAGTGGAACCGTCACTTCTTTAGTGTGTAATTTACTACGGTAGCCACATAACTAAGGGGGAAAGGAGGTGTAATTTTGCCCTGGCTTCAGCCCTGGGATTAACGATTTAGTTTCAATTTCTGCCAAAATCGCCACATTGACCTCGGTTAATATTCCTCCGCCAGGGTGGCTTGGATTCTTTTGTATCCTGTAGGCCGTCATCAAGAAACCACACATCACAAGGCAACTAGGAATTTGAAGGCCGAAATCTTTCATTCCACAAACATATGATCTTAGCCAAATCCCTGGAATACCCCTTGTGTCTCCTTCCTATATAAGGTGAACATTTGTTCTTCAGTGAAGTAGCTCGGTGACGTTTTCAACCCATGGGAAAGGTCATAGTTGGGTTGTTTAAATCCCAATTGAGGGCTTCGAGAGTATCTAGTTTCCTACGTACGGATCGTTGTACTGTGTTGGTCATGAAGAAGCTTCCTGTGTAATTTCGAATTGTGTTTAGGCCGTCAGTTACTACTGAACTCAGGTCTTTCCTTATGATTGTATGAGAAAGGCATGTGGCGTACAGATATTAAGGTACATTCTACAAGTCAGAAATTCAGGAAGATTTGTTCGAAACCAATCCAGACCAACTGATAGTGCATCACTTCTAACCCACAGTACGAGCCTTCTGGGATAGTCTTGAAGTCGCTGGAGTCCATTACGGATACCACAGCTCTACATAATCAGTTGCCGTCGGCATACATTCGAATCTGAGGGATGGAACTTGGTGGAAGCTGATCCACAAAAAGAAGGGGAAACAAAATGCCCAGGATCGCTCCTTGCGACAACCTGGATGACATCTAAGTTATGCACAGCCTGTCGACGTTTGTGCAGAATTTTCTACTGTCTAAGCGGTCCCTAACCTAGGAGAGCATCTGAACGTCGTTATCCAGGCGTGCAATTTTCTTTGGAAGGATTGTGTGCGGAACCATACCGAGGGCCTTGTCAATATACTGGATAGGGGCTCTGAGGTCCCAGCATACCGTCCGGGCGCTGAAAGTTGCCAGTAGGCTATCGGTGCACCACCTGCTCCCTCAGAATTCGCGTTAGACATCACTGAGTGCTGTTCTTCTGTGAAAGTACACCTTTGTATGGCTGTCCACCGCTTCGGTTTAAACTGAGAAAGGGATGTAGACCAACAGAATTTCTGTCCCTGCCTGGGTCCTCGTTTGAAGATGACAGAGACGATGTCGCGCTCGTACTCCCATTGGAGGTTACGTTTATCTGAGGTGTGTCAAAAAATATAACGGGTCGCGCCAGCTCAACGCATGACGGATGGCGGCCGTCAAACCCTGAGCATTTCTTCGAACGGAGCCTTGGCAGATTTTGGGGCCATATGAAGCAGTTATCTGCAATCCATGTGTCTCTTCTGCAATAGGTAACGCTGGAGACTGACCTGGTCACCTGCGTACACAGCCAGATGATACAAAGAGCTGCTTGCGGCCAGACCGGAAACTCCGGTGACGTACGTACTTGAGATGACTTCTTCACTTAGGCGGTTGGTTACGCGCACTTCCCAGCGATTGTACTCTCTATTCTTCAGGACCCCATACACATTTCTGAGGTTTGCCTCAACCCCTTGGACAAGGTTTATCTGGAACGACATCCCACCTCCCTTCCCTTTGATCTCGCACGGAGTTCTCAGAGCCCCATTTTCGCCGCAATCTGAGTCCTTTCTGCGGATTCCCCACCTGCATCACGCTTTCCTTTCGGCTTGCAGGGGTTGCTTTTTGCCTCGGTCTACCCACGAGTTACGTTTTCTTTCTTGTCAATACTGAAAGAACACTTCCGGAGGCCGCCTCCTCAGTGATCCCCCCACTAATCTTCACTGAAAATTACTAGATATGCCAAGCCACTACTGAGGCCATGTACCTACCTTTAGACATTGATTCGCTGCTGCATAATTTCCTTTGGTGTGGCGAGGTTACGGGGGATGAAACCCTCATTAGTCCTTTGCTGACTACTGGTCCAACTCTAATACGGCAAGATTACTTCTGCCAAGGGGTTTGAACCTCCAAGTCCTCTGCTACCAAGTGGTTAATCCAGTTTTGATTTCCTCCTGCTTAGCGTTTGTTGAGTACTGAACCAATCTTTTCATGAATCCCAGCTTTTTGTTCTCACTGACCGAGTTTCGACTGAGTGCCCTGTAAAATGGGCTCTTTTCTACCCAAGACTGACACTTCATACTTACCTTTCCGTGCCTGCGTAAATATTACCTGAAGCAGTTGCTGCTTCCGTCTCACTCCACTATCAGGGGATCAAAGGACTCCTTCATCCGAATACTTAGTGTGTGTGGTGGCGTGGTGGTAGCACCCTGAATCTTAAAATTCGATTCGCCCATCGTCAGTAGCCCACCCACTTTTGAACTAGTCATTCATCTAAACTGCTAATCAACCTCCGTCCCCGTGCTCCTTTTCTGGCCCGAAGAGAGGCATGTTGCCCATGTTCGTTTCGACGTCACTAATATGTGGCGATAACCAAATTTCTGCCAGGACTGCAATTTTTGGGGCCAGAGGCAGACAGAGAAGCCTTGGATCCGCCATCTCATCTCCAAGTCCACTCATATAGCTGTAGGGGTACATTCAAATGCTTCTCATAAAGTGCGGTGTTTCTGTGGTAGCTGACAGTTTAAGGCTAGTTGCAGCAGTGAAAGCTGCTGTTGTCCGGCCATTTGTAGTGGAGGTGGCTCGGTCATGTTCGTCCAGCAACAGCCTCTGCAGTCACTGCCAAGTTAAGGTTACCAATCAGGTCCTGCTCGTGTCCGTGTGTGTTGTCCTGAGCATAGAAAAGTAGCACTGTTTTCCGTCGTTACAGCTTCCAGGGTCCGCCACCGCAGCAACAAATATCCCCCCCCCCGATTCTGCACCTAACTTCATATCATGTCTGCAGAATAACCAGAAGCGCAGAGCATCTAAAGTTGATAACTGTCGATCAGAGTGCAGCCATAAAACTTAGATGCAGGGGTTGTGAAAGGTGGTAAACACCGTCACTGCTGGATATCACTCTTTTCTCCCTCGATTTCGGTCATAGTTTCCGGGACACTGTGGATGACGGTAGGTGTGAGCGTTTGAAAGTGGACAGTTTCTTGAGACGTCTTTTGTACTAGCCATGGCCAATCTGGCCAATCCGGCCAATCTTAAACTAGACAGTTAACAACAACTGGTGTGAGGAAAAAGAAGAAACTACTGGCTGCAATCATGCATTCAGAACTTTAAGCACTCCGAATAATGGAGACTCAACGGGACCGAGATACCTTCGCTCACGACTGCTCAAAGAGCTTACACTCCATGTAGCTGGCTCAATGTTCACCGCGTTCAGACTGTCCTTCAGCGATGGCGCACTCCCCCATGACTGGAAGAACACCATAAACACAGCCTTTCGCACGGCAGTTACAGGCTGCACCCGTCAAATTAAAAATCAATAAGTTTGAGCAGTACCGTAGTAAAAATCCTAGAAAGAGTAACCAAGAAAGCCATCGGGGTCCACTTTCTAGTATCTGGTATTCTAGTATCTCATCCGCAATAAGGCTTTCGGCGACCTTCCCCTCGCTTCAGGGACCTTCATACAGGCAGAGGGAGTTGGATCAGGTCTTAGATTAATCGGATACCTGCAGATATCATTTCCATAGACTTCAGCAAGGGGTTTGACGAGGTACCCAATTCCAGGTTCTTTATAAAACTCGAGAGCTTTGGAATACCTTGCAGTTTATGTGCATAAACCAGACAGTCCCTTTTCGTGAGGAGGCAAAGACTATGGATTAATTCCCACCACTTCTCTCAGAAGTCTGAAAATGCGGAGTGCCACGAGATGCAGTCTTCAGTTTTGTGTTGTCGCTTCTGTGCATAGATGGGCTATCAGATATCGAGAATTCTTCCACGGTCTGCCGAGCCGGTGGCGCAACAACCTAGCGACAAATCAGGGATTAGAATGATGTACACGCAATTCAGACAAACCTAAGCAGCCCGATAATCTGGTCAAAGAAATGTTTGTTAACGCAGGTACATGTGTGATCGTGCCCGTGCGATCAAGGGATGGCAACGCTCACAATGTTGGTGGAACTCCTGCAACCAATGTACTAACCTACAGCAGCCAAGGAGCCACAGAGAGTC